GCCGGGTTTGAACCCACCACCCTTGGTATATGGGGCCAGCACCCTTTTCACTGAGCCACAGGCACTGCCCACGAACATGTTGTTTAAACTCAATGTTCTCACAGAGGAAAACTTCAGCTGTCCATTTTAACCCACACATCATAACAACAGCTAGCACACTAGATCAGATTCCTGGCAGCCTCCAGCATACTAAAGACAAAAACATCAAGGAAATACCCAAGGTCAAAGTCACGAAATGCAGACACACAGATGTCATGTGAGGTATTTATTTTGTAACCATTAGGCTCAGCTCCAGTACCAGGTCAGCAAAGACAATTTTTCAAGCTCCCAATTAATCCCAACCAACGTTTCTATTGTTGGGCTACTTTAGGATGGCCAGCATTTGGAGAGAGGCGGATCACCTCAGGGAATCTGTGTAGAATTCAGAGAAAGGACATGAGAAGTTAGGATCTATTCGGGTCTATTTCGGATATAAGGTATTAAAAGTACCTACAGTGGGGCATGTCATGTGAGCGTGGGAGGCAACGGGAGGCCACTGGGCCTAACCACTCCCTAGCATTTCACTCCAAATCAGTACAGTCACAGTGATGATCCAAAGGCGAAAAAGAAGAGCTGAAAGACACACGTTCTGAGCAACATTTAATTTTTGTTTGTCAAATAGGTGAGCAGGCTCCAATGAGGTATCATCAGACATGGGGGTTTGTGCCCCTCCATCACCTTTCCTGCTGGCTCTGGTCATTCCGCTTTCCTGCAGAGGATGCCATGTCCAAAAGAGCTGTACTCTAAATAATGTAACGGAGAACTGAAAAACAAAAAGAGAAACCATCAAGATAAAGACCCTGCCCACAGAAGGGAGCAACACTGTAGGAAAGGGCATTTATTTATGTTTAGAGGTATAACTTCAACACCAGCGCAATCTGCTGTCACCATTTCCCAAAATCTTAAGCCTTGAGCCTGATTTCTGTGCTCAAAATGGAGATGACTATTGGAGGAAAGATGACATTTTACAAAGTTTTCCTCTATTTCCTTGACAACCCAGGGATTATCTCTGACCCAGATCCCAAAGCTACCCTCACACCTTATTCCCCCTCGGCCCTCCCTGGTGCTGGAAGAGGAAAGACAGGGTGGATGTGGAGGGACTTCCAAGGACTGGGGAACTGGAGGGCCATTTGTGGCAGCTGAAACGTAAGGTGATCTGGGGAACGATGGCAGGGGATGAAGCGGGACAAATAGATTAGGGGAAGATCATGGCAGTGCAGGGAGCTGGATTTTGTGCTTTAGACAACGGAAGCCCAAAAAAAGGTTTTTAAGGAGGGGACCAAGGAAGTCAAAAGCATGGTTAGATTTATAAATTTTCAAAGACTCCTGAGACTGCGTATAGGAGGGAAGAGAAGGAAGAAGAGAGTTGGGAAGAGCCATCAGGTTATTGCCATGGTTCCAATGGGAAATGACCGGGTCCTCCTGGCTGGGTCTGTCACGGACAGGACAGGTTTGAGGACTACTGCAGAGTTAGAAGAGATAAATCTTGGCGGCCCATAAGATAGGGAAGGTAAGAGGGGAGACTCTACATTGATGTGGAGGTTTCTAGCTTGGGTGAGTGGGTGGATTTCTTAAATTAATCCAACAGATATTTACTGAGGACTCATGTGCCAGGCACTGGGTATATTAATGAACAAGACAGACATGGTCCCAACTCTCATGAAATGTACAGTCTACCAGGGCCAATGACAGGGCAAACAATATATAAATCGTTATTTATTGAATTCTAACCCTAAGATACTGTGAGAAGGTATAATAAAGAATTTAACCTAGTATGCAGTCAGGGGCAGTGTGGATGGTGGGGCCGTTCACCCACACACAAAACAGGAGGATCTGGCTGTAGGAGAAGATGAATTTAGTTTTGGATATAACGAATTTGCAAGAGGTGGGAACTTGGAGAGAGGAGCCAGAGATGGGGTTGGATCCAGGGGAGACTAAGGAACACAGTGGAGAAGGGCTCCTCCTTCATGGCCTTCCCCTGGAGGGAATGAGCCAGGCTTTCTCGGAGCCCTCACGGGGAACAGCACCACATCCCAATATCAGCATTCTGCCACACCACGATGTTGTGAGTCAAGGACTACCTGTGTAAGTCTACTGGCTCAAGGAAAGGCAAGCATTGCCAACAAAATACCTGCGAAATGTGGCTGGAGAAGGATGGAATTTGTAATTTGCTGGAGTGACAGAACCTACAGCCTAATCAGCTTCCTAATATAAACATCAGTGCAGGCTTCCAAAATGTTAAATAAAGGTAGGGACAAATGAGCTCACAGGATCAGAACTAACAATTTTATCTTCATAAATATATACTGTTTTTCCTTTGCCTTTTCTTTTTGTGTGTGTGTGGTTTTTGGCCGGGGCCAGGTTTGAACCCGCCACCTCTGAAATATGGGGCCGGCGCCTTACTCCTTTGAGCCACAGGTGCCACCCTCCTTTGTCTTTTTAGCTGTCTGTTCCAAATTAATGTCAAAACTAGGGAAGAATGTGAAGACAGAAAATTCGCTTCCCTTGCTGCCAACTTCTAATGGGCAGCTTATAGGAAAGAGTTTGGGGATTCCTGGCACTGAGGCCGGAGGGTGGAAAGGAAGATGCTACTGCCTTTGTGGCAAACTTGGTCCCTAATGTCACCATCAGCAGCGCTCCTTCACCTCTCCAGGACGGCCTTTACTTCTTCTCAGCCTAAGACCTGACTCCTGGACACTTTCGGCTCCCTATCTCAGATGGCCCATTGTGACACGCCCTTGCTCCTTTTCCTATCCCAGGTCAAGCCTGTAGCCTGGCTACTCGGAAGGCAGAGGCAAGAGAATCGCTTGCTTGAGCCTAAGAGTTTGAGGTTGCTGTGAGCTGTGATACCACAGCACTCTACCCAGGGCGACACAGTGAGACTCTGCCTCAAAAAGAAAAAAAAGAATGTTAGAGACAGTGATGAACCACATATACGATGGTGGCTGCCTTACTGTCCTTTCACTGGATCTTTTCTCTGTTTAGATAGCCAGGCGTGGTAGCTCACACCTATAATCCTAGCACTCGGGGAGGCTGAGGCAGGTAGATCACTTGAGCTCCCAAGTTGCGAGACCAGCCTGAGCAAGAGTGAGATCCCATCTCAAGTAAAAATGAAAAACTGAGGCAAGAGGATTGCTTGAGCCCAAGAGTTTGAGGTTGCTGTGAGCTATGATACCATGGCAATCTCTCCACCAAGGGCAACAAGGTGAAATTCTGTCTCAAAAATAAGTAAATAAATATTTAAAATAAATTAAAAAGATAGGTTTAGATACACAAATTACTTACCATTGTGTTACAGTTGTCTACAGAAGTCAGTACAGTAATGTGTGTGGGTTTGTAGCCTAGGAGCAATAAGCTACCACACAGCTTAGGTGTGGAGTACGTGATATGATCCAGGTCTGTGTAAATACATTCTATACTGTTCACGCAATGATTCAATCACCTAATAACACGTTTCTCAGAACATCCTTCGTTGGTAAATGATGCATGGCTGTAATTGGAAGCTCCCCTATGTCCTGAGGCCCTAGGGACAGAAGCTTAACACTCTCCCAGGGGTTAATGTGTTCTAGGCTAAGCCTCCCAATGTGTAGATTTACATGGGGAAGGGCGCTGGTGAGAATAGAAGCCATTCTTTTCAGTGAAAGCTGGGAGTCCAGACACTACAGTAGAAGGCACGACCAGCTCATACATCTGTAGTGCCCAGGGCTCTAGACAGCACGGGTGCTTCTGCCAGGGGGGTGGCAAACAAGCTGCTCATCACCCTGTCATTTGGAGACTTGACACTCAACAGCCAAGTTTACAGACCTCAGTGAAGCCCAGAGGTGTGAAATCCGTGTAAACCAGGATGTGAGGTCTTCCAGTGCCCTGAGGGACAGACAGACGCTGACTCTCTGGAGGCCTTTACCACCAACATGTAGGGAAGGAGCTACAGTCCCAGCTCAGGAGTGGGATGAGGGCCCCTCACTGCCATGGTGGCGGGCATTCTGGGCCAACAGGAGACCCGGACAGCCGGTGCCATTGAGTTCTCTACCCCTGTCCCTCTCTAGCTGGACTTGGATTTTCTTGTTCTCAGAGACAGGCACCCCCATCATGTCATTGTCATCATGTCCCTCTGAACAACCCATGTCTTCAACTTCCCAAAAGCCATGGGAAGCAGACTTCTTTTTCGGAACGGCTACCTGACTGCTGCTGCTCAACCTCCAGTACAAACAAGATCCCCCTCTGTGAAGCAGCTCTCCGGGCCGACTCCCTTCTCTGGCCTCACGGGCTCAGTTGGAAATCTGGCTGTGGCACTTTTCACCCCACATGGCCATCATCTCTTTAGCTATTTCCCTCATTAGACTGAAGCTCCTTGAGGCAGAGACTATGATTTTCTAGGTCCCAAATGCCTTGCCCACAAAGTAGCCTTAATAAGTATGAGTCAGAGAATAAACGATGACGCAAGGCTCCATGAGCCAAGGCATCGCTGATAAACGCCCACATCTGGCTTCTGCCTTAATCTTGCCAAGGGTCCCCCACCCAACATTAACTGACAACTTGCTCTGTTGTGCCAGGTGGGCAGTAGGCTAGGTCCTGGGGGCTCCACGTCAAAAAAGACTGTGTCCCTTCCCCATGGACTTCGGTCTAAGAGACGCCCCCTGCGCTGGCACTTCTCTGCCTGCAGTCAGCGGTGTCCATCTGCAGAAGGAGCTGAACAAGTGTGTCGTCAATGAAACTGTGATGCAAACAAGGAAACCTGCTCATTCTAAGGGACCAGGCTACCGAAACAACCCACAGGGGGCGTGAAAGCAAAATAATAGAACATCTACTTACATTTCACCAAAAATTTAAGCTCTAATGATTGCCATATGGATTGACAAAAGTATGTGCAAATACTCAAATATACATACTTTGCTGGTTTGTGCTTGTGACAGAGATTCTTCTTTTTTTTGGCTGGGGCCAGGTTTAGAACCCGCCACCTCCAGTATATGGGGCCGGCACCCTACTCCTTGAGTCACAGGCACCACCCATGACAGAGATTCTAAAAAATGATCTCCACGCTGGATGCGGTGGCTCACACCTCAGAGGCTGAGGCGGGTGGATCACCAGAGCTCAGGAGTTAGAGACCAGCCTGAGCAACAGTGAGGCCTCATTGCTACTAAAAATAGGAAAACTAGCTGGGTGTTGTAGCGGGTACCTGTAGTCCTAGCTACTTAGGTAGCTGAGGCAGGAGGATTGCTTCAGCCCAGGAGTTTGAGGTTGCTGTAAGTTATGATGTCATAGCACTCTACCCAGGGCAATGGAGTGAGACTGTGTCTCAAAAATAAATAAATAAATAAATAAGCTTCTTCTTCTTCTTTTTTTTTTTTTGAGATGGAGTCTCAAGCTATCCCCCTGGGTAGAGTGCCATGGCATCACGCTCACAGCAACCTCCAACTCCTGGGCTCAGCCTCCCAAGTAGCTGGGACTACAGGGGCCTGCTACAGTGCCTGGCCATTTTTTGGTTGCAGCCATCATTGTTGTTTGGCGGGCCCAGGCTGGGGATTCGAACCCGCCACCTTAGGTGTATGTGGCTGGCACCTTAGCCACTTGAGCCACAGGCGCCGAGCCAATAAATAAGCTTCAATGACCCCTGCTTCCAAGTAGTCATGACCTTATACAATCCCCTCCTCCAAAGTGTGACTTGCTTCTCATTAATAGAATATGACAAAGGTGATGAATGTCACTTCCATGTTCACAAGATATAAAACTGTAACTTCATCTCACTAACAGACTCTACTGACTCTCCCTTTACAGCTTTGATGAGGTAAGCCATCACCTGGAGAGGCCCACACAGGAAGGGACCGTGGGCAGCCTCCCACTGACAACCAGCAAGGAGGCCCACACTCTAACAGGCCACAAAGCACTGAATCCTGCCAACAACTGTGTGAGTTGGGAAGCACATCTTTTACCAGTCTCGCTTTCAGATGAGACTGCAGCCCTAGCTAGTGCTTTCTGTGTAGCCCTACGAAGGAACCTGAGACAGAGGAGCAAGGTAAGCAACGCCCAGACACCTGGTCCACAGAAACTGTGAGAACGTACACTGCAGTATTATTGTTGGGCTGCAATAGATCATTAATACAGTACTCAGACCCTTAACTGACAGCACACACAATCAAGAAATGTGGGGACTTCTCAACTAAACATCCCGGACCAACAAAGGAGGGCTCCACAACAAAGGAAAACAAAACCTGGAGGCCAGCAGTGGGAGCCTCCAAGTTTCCATGGTAAAAAGAAAGAACATGCTACAAAATGAGAAGTGGAAAACCTCACAAATTGGCTCCTCAAGACCTAGGTTTGAGTAACAGGACTGCCTCCAAGAGGTAGAAGCTCGTAGGCAACTCAGATTTATTAAGCTCAGCCTCCTCCCCTGTACAGTGGGATCAACAGGGCTGGGAAGAGGGGCCAATGACAGAGCCATCTCCAGAGTGTAAAATGGAATGTGATACCCACAGAACTCTGGGGCGGCCTTGGGCAAGGCACTGTCTGTCCTCTCATAGCTCCAGCTTCCATGGCATAAAATGAGGAGGGAAGCCCAAGCCATCTCCAAGGGCCATGACCTTCTTTGATGCTAACATCTCATACCCAGAAGAAGAGGGTTAAAAGAGAAGGTGGTGGACCGTGGCATTTTATAACAGTTCCCTAGTCACTCTGTTGCCAGGGTGTCTGTCTAACCAGTGATGTTACTAGAGGCACCTTTGACCAATCACAGCCTATCAACTTGCACAGCCTGCACCCTGAATTCCTCAACCAAGAGAGGAAAATACCCACCTCTTTTTTTGTTTGTTTAGTTGGGGTTTTTTTTTGTTTGTTTGTTTTGCTTTGTTTTTTGAGACAGAGTCTCACTCTGTTGCTCAGGCTAGAGTGCTGTAGTGTCATAGCTCACCGCAACCTCAAATTCCTAGGTTCAGGTGATCCTCCTGCCTCCGTCTCCCAAGCAGCTGGGATTACAGGCACCCACTATACCACCTAGCTCATTTTTCTATTTTTAGGAGAGACAGAGTCTTGCTCTTGTTCAGGCTGGTCTCTTGACTCCTAAGGTCAAGAAATCCATCCGCCCTGGCCTCCCAGAGTGCTATGGTTACAGGCTTGAGCCACTGCCCCGGCCCCACTTGTTTTACAAAAAGGAAATGAAGAGTCAAGGTAAAGCAGTGGGAACCATCACATTTCAGTACAAACTACTGACCCACTCTCAGAGGGCAGCAGCTTCGGTTTTTTTTTTGAGACAGACCCTCAAGCTGTCCCACTGGGTAGAGTGCTGGGCCATCACAGCTCACAGCAACCTCCAACTCCTGGGCTCAAGCGATTCTCCTGCCTCCGCCTCCCAAGCAGCTGGGACTACTGGTGCCCGCCACAACGCCCGGCTATTTTTTGGTTGCAGCCGTCATTGCTGTTTGGTGGGCCCAGGCTGGATTTGAACCCACCAGCTCTGGTGTATGTGGCTGGCGCCTTAGCCGCTTGAGCCACAGGCGCAGAGCCTCGATTTTGTTACTGAGCACATTAACTATGTACCAGGAGATTTCACAGACATTATCTCCACTCTTCACTACAATTTTATGATATAGGTTGTGTTCTTATTTTATAGATATGTTAGCTGAGTTACAAAGAGAGTAAGCCCCTTGCCCAGAGCACACTGATAATACCTGGCAGGGCTAGGATTTAAATTTTAATTCAATTTGACTCTAAAGCCCCTGGTGCTCTAGGAAGCAGCAACTTGGGCAGAAAGCACAGTCTGTGATTATAACACAGAGTAAACGTTGTTGGCCACAGCAGGATCATGTGCAGAGTGTGGCTTCATTCATTCATTCCAGACACATTTACTGAGCACCCACTACAAACCAAGTTATGGGGGGGCAATGGAGACATAGAGTAACACCATTCCTCGTTCGTATGGAGAGGAGTCTAACTGAGGAGACTTTCTAGTACTCAGAGGACAAATGAACAAGTGAATCACTGAACAAATGGACAGACAGGCAGATGGACACACAGCCAATGATTAGTGTTTCAAGCACCCACAACACATGACGTACAATACAAAGTGTGAGGGATCATCAGGTAAGTGACGACTGTTGGAAAAGAAGGAACGTTTCCAACAACTGTAACAGCAAGTACAAAGGAAAGGGCAAGACCATCAGCGTGGCTGTGGCTTCAGTATTCTGCAGAGGTGGAGTGGGGTCTTTTTCCTATACTCTAACCCACTGGGTTAACAGTGGGATCATCAATGAGGCCCTGGGAGCAAAGGAGGCATGAAAACGTGTAAGGTTTGGAGAACTTCGTGAGTGTTTTGAAAGGGGTCACGCTCAGGTCTGAGGCCAGCATGAAAATTCTTAGAGATACTAGAAAGGAAACTGGCCAGGGCTGTTAGCAAATGGAACAAACCCATACCACGCTGGTGGAGAGTGTTCAGAGAGGAAAGGAGAATCTTCTCTGCTGGGTCTAAAGGCAGGAGCTCCCTTTACAGAAGAATCTCTGAACTTATGTTCCCCACTTGTATAAAGTGAACATCATGTGAGTTTCAAAATGGAAGCCTTCAACAAGGAGCACACGGACGCACATGAACCGGGCAGAAAGTGAGAAGGGTCTGGCCCTCTCTGCTGTTGATCCTGATCACAGTAACGGCAGTGACGTACCTGCCCGCCTCTTACTATATCCCACAGCAGTAAGATAAAAACACAATCTCTTACTTTCCTCACTAGCTGGACTTAGCTGCCACAGCTGTTTGGTTTGGAGTAGCTGTAGGTGCTGGGAGATGGTCCATCTCTGGTGCATCAAAAAAGTACGCCTGCGGGAAAAGAGAACCACGAGGGAGTTAAAAACAAGGGTTTGGGCGAACGTTCTAGACGCCATGCTGACTGGGTACGACTGGGCTTTCCTGGTCCCTCACTCCCCCCACTATTCTCATCCTGCTAAATGACAACTGTCTCTGCTTATATCTGTCTCACTTACTCAACTGTGAGTACCTTTTTAAATTCAGTTACCACTCATTTATCGAGCACTTACTATATAACACGACTTAATAAAAACCCTGCGAGGCGGTATTGACTATCCTCTTTAGACTGATGAAGCAGCCGAGGCTCAGAGAGACTGTCATTTGACGGGTGCACATGGCTAACGCGTCGTGAGGCCAGGACTCAAAGTGAGGTCAGTCTGACTCTAAGCACAACCTCCCACTCACTACATGATGCAGCCTTTCCTCTAGGACAAAGACTATCCTTCTTAATCTTTGTGTCACCACTACCCCACACGGGCCTGGCACACTATGTAAACAATCAATAGCTAATAAAGTCGCCTATGTTAGACCGCTGCTAAGCCAGTTAGCTGGCTCTCTGCAAAGGCCTTCAAAGTGAGCGCTAAGCGCGCTGTGCCTCCTGCTTCTTCCGCTGGGATATGAAAGGTTTTGTCGCTGCTTTCATTCACCGTCTACAATTTAACTGTTGAAAATGAGAAGGAGGTGGAGGAGGGAAGACAACAGGGAAGATTTCGCCACTGCCTCAAAGTCTAAGAATCCTAACTTCAGTCCAGGAAAATACTAATCTCACCAGCACCGAACACCAGTTGTTCAAAGGAAAGGTGACTCTGTTACTGCGTCAAGGACCACAGAATGCTCGCCACTCCCCCTTGGTGTCAGTGACTGAGGAAGGTAAAAAGTTAAAAAGCCACCAAGTCTCCAAGTCTCCAGGCACAGCGGCTCATGCCTGGAATCCGAGCACTTTGGAAGGCCGAGGCAGGAGGATCACTTGAGGCCAGGAGTTCGGCCTGGGCAACATAACAAGACCCCATCTCTAAAAAAATGTTTTAAACGTTAGCTGGGCATGGTGGCTCGAGCCTGTAGTCCTACTCAGGAGGCTGGGGTGGGAGGATTGCTTGAGCCCAATAGTTGGAGATGGTGGTAAACTATGATTATTCCACTACACTCCAGAGTGGGCAACAGAACAAGACCCTGTTTAAAAAATAAAAAAAGCCACCAGGAACCACTTCCCAGCAGCTTTGCTCTCTGTCAGCCACAAGGGGGCAGCAACACAACGCGGTGGATCTTTCCCCAACACGGCTGCACTGTGTTAACTCTTCAACAGTCCTTTCAAAGTTTCCAAATAGCACCTTTTTTTGTCAGAACCCTCCCTCTATCTAGTTTGTTATATTCCCAGAGCAATTCTATTGCTTTTTCTGTTTTTTTTTTTAAACTGTATTTTCCCAAAATGCTGCAGATCAGTCACAGCAAACACAACGGCAACCATCAAGGAAAACTGTGACTCTGGCTCCTCTTTGACCACAGCAGAGATGTGGAAGCACCTGCAGCTTCAATAAGGGCCACGCAATTCTATCGCTTTTAAAAGTCTCCTCCACAGTGCCTCCTGAGCAGCTGTCTTCTGGGACAGAGAAAGAACAGCACCTGACCTTAGGTGGGGACAGGGGTCACATGGCCAGCGTGGAGCCCCCCACATCTCTCCAGGGTGTACTGAGCCACAAGCCACGAGGGTGCAGGAACAAAGCCTTTCTTCCAGGCTATGAAGAAAACCTCGTAAGAGCTGAGAGGCCCAGCTTGTATGTGCTACTAACTTGTACTGTGACTTCTGGACAGGTCACTACACCCTGGGTGGTGTGTGGGCATCAGTTATTTTTTCTTTTTTCTTTTTTTTAAGAGACAGAGTCTTACTTTGTCGCCCTCAGTAGAGTGCTGTGACATCACAGCTCACAGCAACCTCCAGCTCTTGGGCCTAGAAGATTCTCTTGCCTCAGTCTCCTGAGTAGCTGGGACTACAGGCGCCCACCACAACGCCCAGCTGTTTTTCTTGTTGTTGTTGTTGTTTTGCAGTTTTTGTCTGGGGCTGGGTTTGAACCCGCCACCTCTGGTATATGGGGCCCGGCGACCTACTCCTTTGAGCCATAGGTGCTGCCCATCTATGCCTGGCTATTTTTTTGTTGCAGTTTGGCCAGAGCTAGGTGTGTACCGGCCACCCTCAGTATATGGGGCCAGCGCCCTACGCAGTTTTCTTTCTTTCTTTTTTTTTT